CCACATAGTTTTTCCCATATACTTACCACATAGTTCTTCCCATATACTTCCCACATAGTTTTTCCCATATACTTCCCACATAATTTTTCCTATATACTTCCCACATAGTTTTCCCCATATACTTCCCACATAGTTTTTCCCATATACTTCCCACATAGTTCTTCCCATATATTTCCCACATAGTTTTCCCCATATACTTCCCACATTTTTTCCCATATACTTTCCACATAGTTTTGAAGACAACGTGTCTTCACAACGCCACAACTTTTCGATTGATATCATTTTAAGCACAACATTTTTGTTTCTATCTCATCTACCGAAGTCGCTCGCTTCTGAAACTTTAATTGTTAATAACTTTTTAACTAGAGATAAGCAAACGAAAAATCGACCTGTTTGGCAATGTGCAAACGAATATCTATCAATTGAGCTATTTTTTATTTAATTTACTCATAGTTGGGAGGCCCCCCGAAATTTGTTTTGTTAATAACTTTTTTACTACAAGTGTGCAAACGAAAATTCGAAATGTGCATACATGTGCAAACGATGAGCAATCGAATGAGCTATAGAAACTTTATGTTTTTCAATGTTGGGGGGCTATCTTCACAGAGGTGTATATATGTTCTTATTTAGATGTTAGTTACGTTCTACTCAATTCACATTTTATTCTATACGATCTGTTTCTTTTTCCTTCCTTTTGTTCACTGTCTTTGTTTTATGATCTATACATCTTGAGCTTCGTCTTGTTTTTACTACAAGCATCGTAGCAGTTTTGCTGGCGCGTTACAGATATTCCATTACAGATTTTCCATTTATCGTCTTTATCGTCCGACCTGTTTATAAATCAATCTTGTACGTAATATAAAGTTATTGTAGGAAGAAAAAAAAGAAAGAAAATTTAACCACGTTTGCCTTATACGTCGAATGCATATGCGTTTTTCATTTTTATGACTATGCTCATGATTCATCAATAGATCTTCTTCTCGGCTAATACAAGCGTTAATAGCGACGTTTTATTTTGATAGTACAGTTAAGCGGAGGGAATCCTTATAGGTCTTTAATAGCTTCACGCGTGACCTCTTTGAGGGGTGAGGTTAAAACCGAAGACTATTTAGCAAGTTAATTGGAAATCGAGAAGTTATTATTCTAGCAAAGATATTTTTCGCAGTTCCCACAACTTCTTGCGGGAAGAAAGAATAATCGATATTGTTAATTTGATTATTAAAGAACAAAAATTTAGTTTTGTCTTCAAATCGCTACGTTGCAAGTCCGTTAAAAATAACATAATACATAGTTGCTGACACATAAACACAACTATCTCGAATTTTCACACACACACACACACACACACACACACACACACACACACACACACACACACACAATATATATATATATATATAAAATATATATATA